TATAGTGTGTATCTCTGCATTAAAGAAAATTACGTTATTAACAACTACAACCCCAAATGCGTTAAGTCGGCCCTTGTATTATTCAGGTTATGAAATTGTTTTGTTTTGTTGGTAAGTGCAAAGCTACATAATGGGCTTTCTGTGCTGTGCCCACCACGGATATTAAAACTCGGTTTTCATCGTTACAAGCCTTCAGACTTACCGCTGAGCCACTAATGAAAGTGGATTTATGTACTCTAGAGAAAAGGTAGATTATCGCAAATATAAAATGTAGCTGTCAGACCTATTAATTCTAGGATAATACCCCACATTCCAGACTTAATTTTCATTAATATTTTCCCAACCTGTACAAGGAATGACGTATAACATTAACTTTAAAAATTGAAAACAATCACTTTTTATTTATCTTTATTTCCTCGAGAGTCATCCCTCAATGGCTCAGCAGTGTTTGATTCCCATGGTGGGCGCAGCGTAGACAGCCCATTGAGTAGTTTGCGTTAAAAAAAAATCCTCATGTGATATGTAAACGTAATGTACACTCTGAATTGAACTCTGATCTAATTCAGATGACGAAAAATTTGTTTGTTTGGAATTAAGCAAAAAGCTACACAACGGGCTATCTGTGCTCTGCCCACCACGGGTATCGAAACCCGGTTTCTATCGTTGTAAGTCCGCAGTCATACCGCTGTGCCACTGGGGAGGGAGCATGATGGGAAAGACAAAACATTTGTCCAATAAAGTTATTTATTATAAAGTGTTATTTCGAAAATGAACGAGTCTTTGTCTCCATTAACAGACGCAATTCAAATAAAATGAATGAAAAACACTATTTCTTATTTTTATTTTATTCACTGAAACTAATCTGCATTGTAAATTTTCCATGTTAAATACACAAACAAACAAAAATGGACGTTACACAAGTCTGCAAACAATTACACCCTGAAAAAAAAAAACATACCCTGGACGGAAACAGAGAGAACAAAAACATTGTATCTTTTATCTTGTTTCACTCATTCCTTTAACCTTAGCAAACTACATACCGTTTATCTAGAATATAATTAGCAAAACGTCTTTTATAAGTCTAATTTGTTCTACTTTCCTAACACATTTGAATGTATAGTGTTCCACTTAATGGCCATGTAAAACTTCAAACCCACCCTAAAATACGTTTGCTAGATCACCACTTAAGTACTGTTTCTTTCTGTGTTCCATATAAGGTGATGAATGTATTAACGAAAGATTCTTATTTGCTACTGATTGGTCCGTGAGTTGGTTTATAATCTCATTCTCAGCGGCTACTCATAATTATTCATATAGCAGAAGGCTTCTAATACGTGAGATGTAACCTGAAAATATCACATATTCCGTAAACCTTCGCACTCTTACACGAACAACTTCTTAAGAGTAGAAAGCGCCCTCTGTATTAAGTGAGTGTGTATAACAAGCAATGGGGTGAAATTATTTTCGAACTAGAACTAAAAGTAGTTCGTAAGTACTGAATACGGCTAACGTATTTATATTAATAAAAAAAGCGAAACTTTAAATACAACATGATGACGTGCACAAAAGACAGAACATTTCTTACACATTGAAGAAGTAAACTTTAAAATGTGTATTTAACCAAAGCGTTTTCTTTGCACGAATGTTTACATTTTCACTGCATTTCTTTTATATAATCAATTTTGTGTTTTAAACTTTAATAGAGTTAACGTAAGTTCCTATCAGGAAGTTTAATCTCCTGATTAAATTCCTCTTATATGTTTCCTGCTCGATGTTTTTTTTATTATATATATATATATACATATCCGAACTAATTAGATATAAAACTCAGTAAAACAACTAAAAACGTACCCCTGCAACACAACGTTTCTCAACATTATCACTGATAAATTACCTGGACGCTGTAGATCAATGTTTGCTTAAAGCAAATACGAATAAATATACTCATTTCCAAACTGGATATGTTATATTCAACTTACTTATCTCAGCTTAGATGTCACCTTGTCATCATAAAACATTAAGCATTAACAAAGGAAAAATAAAAGTTGTAACAATCTTATATCTGCAGTCAAACACGATTTTTCTGGAATCTTGTTAAAGCTTAAACGATTTAATTGCTTCGCCATGTTAAGCGTTTTACACTGCAACCTAAACTTTTATCTGCTTAAGTAGGTGGGTCTCTTGGGCACGCAATTAAAAAGGTTCGAACCCCGCGGGTATTTATTATTATATCTGAAACTAATGAATTGTTAAGCTTACAAATTCGTTTGAAAATATGTTCGAATAACGAGTTTACAAGGAATATACAAGAAGATTAATTAGATTTCATTATTTCTATCCTAATGTAATTCTGCTAAATTTATAAAACAATTAAGCTTACTGAGATGTCATATTTACGTTGCTTGTAATGACTTCCAAATATAAGTGTAAATGAACGGTTTTGGTGTAAACTTATTTCGTTGTGTAAAAATCCTTCGTTCAAACACACTTCGGTGATTTCAGTCTTATAACAAAGAAAAAACATTAATAAAATCTTTCACAAGAAAGCATAAACTGTTAAGTAAGCACTTTGTTAGAATATTATGTACTTGCAAAGTCACTTGTATTTTGAATTAAAACAACATATATTTTAACAGATTAAAAAGTGAAATGAATACATAATAGTTGCTTTAACGTTTAGTATCTAACAGTAATTAGTAGAGAGAGAAACACAAGACTGACAAAGAACACAAAATACGTGAATACAACTAAGGTAACTATACAAAGTCCGAACAGGAGATACTGGAGAGTGACTGTTATTGGAATTTTTAGCTCCACCAATAAACATTATATAGAAATCCCCGTTGACATCCTATGATGGAGCACCAGTCACGTTTATAGTGCGGCTTTAATTATCTACTTTACGAGTATTGCAACCACACGTTAATTACGTTCTTTTGAATCGAGATTTTAATATTCTTAGTTTTTAACATTGAGAATAAGCTATCGATTTGGAAAGAAATCTTAGATCGTTTTGTCGTGAAATTCTACACAAATCAAAGAGCTCTACACCAAAGGATGTTCCTCCTATTGTTTGAAACTAGACAATTGTACAGAACATCAACAACTTAGAAAACCAATCCATAAAAAGATACATATTTATAAAATCCTAATGACTTACTTCTATTTAACATTTCTACTTTAATTATCTGTATTATTATATCTTCACTATTATGAAAATCTGTAATTATTTTATTTCGATATTGTATAGAATATTACAACGCTATCCATTCTAATTCGGATGTTGTCTGCAAGACATTATAGCTTGTCTGTAATACACGTTTACTGTTGTATTTCGAGGGGGTAAACACTGCAACGGGACAGGCACATCGTTCCTATAAATTAATTCAAATGTAAAAACAAACATAATAGTTATCTTCCTAACTAATTGGAAAGAGCGCATCATGTTGACAAAATTGATCATCACTAAAAAGAAATATTACCAGTATTTATTTCTGCATATCTAAACTAATATTTAGTGTCAGTTGCAAATACATTCTACAAGTTAAAAACATTCTGCATGTTGTCAAAGAAATATTACCTATGAAGAACTTGGATTTTTTAATTGTCGGTAAGCCACTATTTAAATGATAAGAATTGGGTTTCTCTCGTTCGTTGAAAGAATATACAAAAAAAAGGTGACGTACACACATGTGCAGAGAGTATACCAAGGTCCCTGAGCGTCTGCACAATGTCAAGTATAGAAAACTGACACCTATAGGAAATCAGATTGGAGAAGATGGATCGATCGATATAATCTACCTACATTAATAATACAACCCTGTGACAGAGATGGAATACAACTGAATGTAGTAACGCATCACATTTCCTGCAGAAGTAGAGTAAACGGTTCATAGACACTTCTATAAATTGCTCGAACAGTTCAACATTATATGAATCATTATTTACAAAAGGAAATCAAAGAAAAACTCACTTCAATTAACTACAAAGTTTGGCGGGCATGCTTTAGTTCTTTGAAACAATTTGGTTGATATTTTCG